TCACATTTAAACCAAATTTTCATTCAATTAGATTCGGTTAAGGTCACATTAGTTTAATTAGAGCTAATTTAATCCTCGTGGGAACGATACTTGGACTCATAGTCCACTTTACTACTTGTTAACGAACCGTACACTTGCGGTGGGTTTTAAAATCGAGAAGAAATATTTTGTGAACAAAGATCACAAAGGGAAAGAAGATCTGCATTGCCCAATGATTATATTGCATATTTATTGGAGAGCGATTTTAATATTAGGCATATTGTTGATCCTATAATTTATAACCAAGCATTGACAAGTCGTGATTTAGATAATTGGATAGCTGCCATGAAAGATGAAATGAATTCCATGGAAAGGAATAAAATTTGGGATCTTGTTGAACTTCCTTCAGATGCTAAGGCTGTAGATAACAAGTGGATTTTCAAAAATAAATTAGATTCAAAAGGAAATGTTGAACGAAAGAAAGCAAGATTAGTTGCAAAAGGTTTCACTCAACGAGAGGGCATTGATTATGTTGAAACCTTCTCCCCTGTTTCGTCGAAAGATTCTTTTCGAATTATCATGGCTCTTGTGGCACACTATAATTTGGAGGTTCATCAAATGGATGTTAAGACAACATTTTTGAATGGAGATCTTTCTGAAATGGTTTATATGAAACAACCTGAAGGCATTGTTGTAAAAGGAAAAGAAAACTTGGTGTGTAAATTAAGCAAATCCTTATATGGTCTCAAGCAAGCATCTCGACAGTGGTATTTGAAGTTTGATGAGGTTGTGACATCTCTTGGTTTTGTCGAAAATACTATTGATCAATGCATTTATCTTAAAACCAGTGGGAGAAATTTTATTTTCCTTATACTGTATGTTGATGACATTCTGCTTGCTAGCAGTAACTTAGGGTTGCTTCATGAGACAAAGAAAATGTTGTCTGCTAATTTTGAGATGAAAGATCTTGGAGAACCTTCCTATGTACTTGACATTGAAATACATCGTGATAGAAATCGTGATTTATTGGGACTTTCTCAGAAAGCTTATATGCGACGTGTTCTAGAAAGGTTTAATATGCAAAATTGTGCACATGGTGATGTACCTATCATAAAAGGAGATAAGTTTAATAAAACTCAATGTCTAATGAATGAGCTGGAAAGGGAGTCTATGAAGATGATTCCATATGTTAGTGCTGTGGGAAGCTTGATGTATGCTCAAGTTTGCACTAGATCGGATATAGCCTACGCAGTAAGTGTCCTTAGCAAATTTCAGTCTAATCCAGGACAAGAACATTGGAAAGCAGTTAAGAAAGTTATGAGATATTTGAAGAAAACTGAAAGTTATATGCTTACATTCCAGCGTACAAATCATCTTGAGGTGGTAGGATATTCAGATTCTGATTTTGCTGGATGTCAAGATGATTTGAAATCAACCTCAAGTTATATTTTTACATTAGCTGGTGGTGCCATTTCTTGGAAAAGTGTTAAACAGACTTTAGTGGCATCTTTTACTATGCAAGCTGAATTTGTGGCATGTTATGGGGCTACAGTCCAAGCTGTTTGGTTAAGAAATTTCATCTCTGGTTTGAAAGTTGTTGATTCCATCTCAAGACCGATCACCATCTACTGTGATAACAGTGCAGCAATATTTTTTTCAAAGAATAATAAAAGTTCTGGTGGATCAAAACATATTGACATCAAATATTTGGTTGTTAGAGATAGAGTCAAAGAAGGGCAGACGAAAATAGAGCATATCAATACAGAGGCGATGGTTGCAGATCCCTTAACTAAGGGACTCGCTCCAAAAGTCTTTAAGACACATGTTACTAATATGGGTATTGTGAAAACATTTGATATTTTTGGTTAGTGGGAGTTATTTATGTAAAGAACTACGTTTTAGGCTTGATCCCTTGCGGGGTACGTAGGCAACCCATATGTTTTCGGCTACAGCCCCTTCTAATAATAAAATAATTTTCCCCTATCCATGAACTATTTTTTAAGCATGCATTTGACTTATATCTTTTTATATTATTGGTATCTTGAAATATGATGTATAAAGACATAAGATGAGTCTCTTTTAGAGACATGTGACTTCATTTTGATTCGAAGCATTATAAGGACCAATATGAGCTAGCACAGTTTTTGATCACATTTGGTGCTAAGTTCATACCACATACTACCACATTAGTTGGAGGATGGGGATCCATGTCGATAAGGATGTTGACATTTGTAGCTGTGGAATGGTCTTACATCTTTTAAATTGGTATAATGATTTCCATGTTCGGTGTTAATATTCTTGTTGGACCGGATCATGTTACGTAAGGTGTCATCATTGGAGCTATACTTTTGTGGCCACCTATGTAGTCTAACCCGGGTGTTAAAACTTTGTTATGTCAATCAAATGTTTGCCCAAGTGGGAGAATGTTGGAATAATTAATAATTCCATATGTGGGCTTCACATTCGATTGCAAAATTTTACGGGTTAGATATATGACTCATAAAGATATTTGTGTTTGGGCCAAATTTATTAAGTGATCAATTGGGCCTTTCACACCTTACGGGTTGTAATTAATTTGATGTGGTAATTTAAAGTATGTGGGCCGGAAATAAACCCTAATTAGAATTCTAGTCGTAATGGGACGGCTCAATTATTTCCTATATATAAAGGCTAGGTCCCCACTCCTCTCCATATGTTTTTATTGGCTTGCCCCATTGATAGCTATTACTTTGTGAGGAGTAAGGAGGGGAAGATCTTGGCTACTATTACAACAATTATTCATATCAATAATGGCTTCCGTAGGTATGAATTCGATTTATCAATTTATTATTATGTGATTCTTGTTCTTAGCATGATATACAATAAAATTCAACAGATTTGTGAGGAAAATTGGGAAGAGAAGAGAACATTTTATGAAAGTACTCTACTCGGGTGGTTCATTTAAAAATTAGGTTGATGGGTTACATAAAAAATCGACGGTTCAAGGGATTGGAAGCGGTTCAATACACATCAATAAATAAGCCTAGCTCGGACTGGATCTGGGTTCGATTCACCAGTTTCCAAGCCTAACCGGCCGATTTATAATAACTATGCTTGTTACCACCTCTTATTTGCACAAGTTTTAAATAACATACGTTGCTGTAAATTAAATCAAGTGATTTTGTATTCAGTTCAATTGATTTGAATTATGACCTTGTTAATTTGTCTCAACACAAGTTTCGCACTTATTGTTGGAATCAATGTGGAACGAGGGTATGCATTTCAAGTTAACTAGTTTACATAAAATATCATAGTTAACATGTCCTAATCTATGATGCTACAAGTTGGAAGACTTAAACAAGTAAGCAGAAGAATTTGCTTTATTTATTTTTACCATAACAACCATTACATTCATTTTAAACAAACCATTGGAAACATAACATTTTCCAACAAACATTTCACCTTTTGACAAAAAAATTTTGTCTGACGATATAATGCGAAAATCGCGCTTATTCAAAAGCAATCTGGACACAAGACTATTGCGAATTTTCGACACAAACAACACATTGTTAAGAGTCAGCTCCTTTTCCGAGGCTATCTTTAAAACCACTTTCCTTGACCTTTGATTTCAGAAGTTGTTGAGTTTCTCATAAATAATTTCTCTCCATTTTCAATTGCTTCGAACACAGCAAACAACTATTTATTAGAGCATATATGCCATAGAGCACCGATGTCAATCTATCACTCTTTTGGATTAGAACCCACAATGTTGACTTTAGAAATAATTGTTGCGATATTCATTTTCGACACATCATTTGTCATGTAATCAACCATATTTGCTTCTTTATTCTTTTTCTTTGGCAATCTGCACTCTAAAGTTTTGTGACCTACTTTAAGGTGGTCAGGTAAAATAACATTTTCTACTGCCACCTCTTGAAATTTAAGCTATTGAACATCTCTGATTTTTCTCCATGATTAACCAGAATAGTAATGGTATGGATAGTTGTTGGAGCTACAGTTTGACTCACAACATGACCTGACAATTTAGCCACAATCTGAGCTACAGCAGAGCCCACAAGCTGAATTCTAGTAGCAATAGTTTGATACACATCTATATTGGTAGATTCGGTTGCCATTTCTGAAAGACAAACGGAAAATTAGTTCTAAATCTGTATAAGAAATCATTTTTTTTAATCTGTTTTAAATTTGTTGGATTAAATGGTTGGGAATGAATACCCGATTAACACATACCATATATGCAATTTAGATACCAAATTTACGCATTTTGTATATACAACATGCCGTATTTGCAGCTTACCGTATTTGCATATACCAATCTTGCATTGAACTTGGATACTACCCAACATATAACAGGTTGAATTGCAATAAACTGAATAAATTAATCTAGTTGGCCAAATAAAAAAAGCTTAATTTTTAATAAAACAAAACAAGTAAACTAAGTAGTCAAAAGCAAGAAATATTTTAACCGAAGTCTGTGTGAACACAGTTTCTTTAAAATAAATTCGTCCCTCATCGTAGGTGCTTGAGGATTAAATCAGACGTCTGTCTCCTAGGATACAACGGATGAACAGTAGGATTTGAGCACCTCAAATACTACTTTGTCGAACTGAATTTGTGTCTGAACAATATCGTCGACTATGTGACTATGAAATATGCAGACCAAAATATGTCGAAAATGTGTTTTGTAAATATGTGCAGAAACTGTATGTTGTAAAGTTTTTTTTCCCCTCTTATTTTTCTTCTTATGTAGAATTATTAGAAATCAGGTTATATATATAGGCTCAACACCATGAATGCCATTAACTTGTATATAATGACAATAAATATTGGAGTTTCGGAATTCAAACGGTCAATTGGAGGAAAAAATTAGCAAAACGTAGGCTCTTCTACGGGGCCAATTTTCATGTCCAAAACTTATTTTGGTTCGATTTGCCCCTTGTGCGAGCATGTAGAGGGAGCTCCAATTTTTCATTCGCCTGAAGATCATTTTTGACAAGTAAATACATGATTTCGACGTTCTCAGAGAGGAGAACGCAAATCAATCTTGAACTTCCAAAATAATCAACGGGGTCCCACTCAAATTTTGTGCCAAAATTAATCAATCAAACAATTTTATTTTCCAACATGCCAATGACTAAGTAGGATATTCTTTCAATTTTTGTACTCGTCTTTCAAACGAAGCAAACAGAAACTATTTACACAGTAGAATTAACTCTACAGATACTGTGCAAACTGAAAACAAGCAGAATTATTCATTTGCAGAGCATATCGTAAAAGTTTATTCTTATATCTCCTTTATCACTACTCATGGAAGTTGTGGTGTCATAGGCCGTATCTTATGGTGAAAAAGGACCCGAAAAAGACGAGACGACTGAAACTGTGTCATCCCTAAGATAAGAACCGAAGCCTCTTTGAGCATAAATCCTTTGTCTCTGTGCTTTCTTTCCTCCTTTTGTGAAAAATAAGCCTTGAGTAGGTAAATTGATGACATCTGTTGTACACCAAGGGAAACATTTCTATGTAGGGGATTAGTGTTGCCAAAAACTCCATTAATTCTTCTATCAGATAGATGTCGACTACAGGTGCTCGGCCTTGATCCAAAGGGACTGTCTTGCTCAATGTTAACTTTAATCTGCACCTCCGGAAGAAACAACCTCGTCCCATATTAGCTATGCATTACTCTATGAGGCAGGACATTACAATAAACAAAATTTTAACTTATGTTCAGTACTGTTAGTCATTTGTACAAAGTATAACTAAAGAGGAACAAAACAACATTACTCAACCTCTGTCTTTGTTTCTCCTCTTCCTTTTCCTTCCTCAGCATGTCGTACTCTTCCAGCATTGCCAGTAGAGGAACCTAGAATGGCAAACAATAACGATTGGAATTTGAGTACTATTCTGAA